CATCCGGATATTTGGATGGCACTGTTTAGTTTGACTTTTACATATCGTCTTTCTTCCTGTGTTTGCAGCTGCCTTGTTGAGTGCTGTGATTTTATTTCGGAGGGTATATGTTCGCTTTTAAGCGAGACAAGCGAAGTTTGCACATGAAAAATAAATGAACCGTTAAATAATAGTTTGCACTGAATCCTGCCTTAATTACTGCATGTAAATGGAACATTTCAGCTGTTCGTTGTGAAAATTTCAGATATTGCACTATAGCGGACAAATAACTGATGCCATTAGGTAGAAATTATTACAGTTCTTAAACTGTGTGTAAACGACCCAAGCCAAATAAACGATTTTTTAGTACAAAATTTATGTAATTTGACAGTTGTCTGTTAAACATCTTAGGCTGTTTGTCGGTTGAGAACGAAAAAAATTAAGACAGCCAAAAGTGTAAAAAACAAAACAAAAAAAATGAAATTCGCTGCTCTGTTCAATATCTTCATCTACGTTGTTGACGTCACAGACAGGCGGCTCAGCGTTCAATTCACTAAGTTACAAATATAAACTGCAATCTGCCAGGAGTAAGATTAGAAATATTTGGATTCAATTTTATGAGTCATTGATTTATTTTCCATTTGGTCAAGGTAGAAATAACTTCTTCCTCATCAACGACATTTCTCAGTGCGTGTATTATTTTCCGCTCTTGTTCAAGTTATTTAGGATGATTTCACTATAACGTGTCCTGGTACGCCAATAACTGTTTCTTTTATCCTCAGTATGGTCTTCAACAAATTAAAAAATGCAGTGTTTATTGACTTCCGCTAACACTGACCTTGGATTTCACGACAAGTGTGACGTCCAAGGGCGTGGAAATAATCGATCGACTGGGCGGTGGAAAATTAATTTGACCAAACAACAATGAAAGCGCTTCAAATGAATAGTGAGCCACCCATGCAATAAAGGCCCATGAATGAGAAGAACAGAAACAATCGATTCCTAAATTTTAAGAAGACCAGCCAGTCAAATGTTGAGTTTAAAACAATTGAATCTCGACTTGTTCAAAGATCGCTGATATTCACGTAACTTTAGTCTTGGTTAAAGTTCAAACTGTTGGCCTCTCAGTACTTCCGTTTTCTTATGAATTGCTGGAGAAGGAATTGATTTCTTGCTGAAAGAGAAGAACTGCAAAACAGTGTCACTCGTGAACTAATATCAGCAAAGTGCATGCAGGCCTGTCGGAAGAAAGGCCATGGAGATTGTATATTCTGTTGACTCGATCAATAATTTGTCCTCACTAATTATACATTCCTTTTTGATGTCAGAAACTACAATTTGATCAAGACCATTAACAAACTCGGCGTCTTTTTCTGCCTTAGGGAGACTTCAACTTTTTTTATTATTATTTCCATTAAATGTTTCGGGCAACTTTTCTGAACACCTACGCGCTAAGTCAAAAATGAACCAACAGAACTCAATTTTAGCTAATAAAATCTCTAGTTGTAAGGGATTATTTCAGGACAAAACAGTATTCGCCAGAAAATCACATGAGAGGGTAGACAATCAGATAACTCGAGATTAGATTTTTTTTACAAATTTTCCTTTCCAGCCTCCATAATTTTCCATACAAAGAGAGGAAAGAATTTGCTCTTCTATCACGATGGCTATAAATAACTGGTGTGTTTTTTTTGTTTGTTTGTTTTTTTGCTTTTTTGTTTTTGTGCTACCTGTTTGCGTAATAATGTGTTTGATATTGTGGGCAGAAGATACAAGTTAACACTTGGGGAGTAAAGGGTGTAACAATAATCACTCTCCTCAGAATGTTCTGTTTGGTAAACGAGCTCTTTGTTTGACGCATGGGTGGATGTGTGAAGTTCAGTGGCTCTCGCACTGTCTTTTTTTTCTCTTGATAAAGATTAGTTCAAAAAAACTTTTATGATTTATCTGAAGTGAACTATTTTTATCAATTCAACAAAGAAGAAAGCACGTAGCACGATTTCTTTAGAAGGTGCTACGTACCCGGCAAAAAGCAGCAATTTTTAGAGAATAATTAATCTTAAGACAATGAAATTTATCACGAAATGTTATCGGTTTCATTGAAAGTTAAGCTCGCTGCAACGCGACTTGTTCACTAAAGGATCATTATTTAGAGTGCAGGTGGAAATGTTAAACAGATTCCCTTCTATAAACGTTGTAAAGCTATAGTTTGCTTTAAAAGGACGACTTTAATTGTCAGATGGTGAAATAATTCGTGCCACAATTTTGTTTTTCCTAATTTACTTTCTTTTCTTACTTACAAAGTACTTCATAGATTGGTTCTTAGTATTTTGTAGAATGATATTGAACATTGACAAAGATACATTATAGACTTATGCCCTGTTTTTTTTTGTTTTGTTTTGTTTTTTTTACTATTTAACTTTTATCGAATCGATTCTTAAGTTTTCAAATTCTTAAAATGTGGGCCTTCCTAAGCTATGTAAATACTCTTTGTCTTTAGAACATTTCCACGATTAAATGAGCGCAAAATGAAGAAAAAAAAGTTTGAAAACTGCGAGATTTAATTGTCAGTATGGTTACACAGACGTCTTAATTCCATGTAGCAGGCTATTTGTTTGCCTGGATTCCCTTGCCACAGTGTGTCTTTCTCAAGTGTTGTTGAAGAAAAAAACGTAGCTAACTTGATTTAGCACTTTATCTCAAAAAGTAAACAGTTTACTGCCTTAACTATATCTCACAGCCATAGAAATTTTGAACATCGAGAGTTAAAATGACTTCCAACATCGTCCCTTTAAAACCGCGCTAGGACTTTTTCGGCGAAAATTTCGATGTAATAAGTAATTTTTTTTATTATCATTATTTTTGTAGTTGTTACACAGTATTTTACTGATAATGGGAATGATTCACTACTTAACAGATGTGATCATGCCAGCTTTTCTATCGCTATATCTGCAAGCTGTTGTATCTATCACGAAGCGATAACCGTCGCCTTGAAAATCGTGAGATCCTATCTTTTTTGAAATTGAAAATAGAGATCCGATCTCTAATTGGAGATGTTGATGATTACTTTTAAAGAAGTTAACAGGCGTTTTTGCCATGAACGCGAGCCTAAAAAATAACTGTCTTGTTTTAATTTTTTTAAACAAATCGAATTCAGTTGCTACGGGAAACCATGCCGAAGTGTTTTATTTACGTCCGAAAACTTAAATTTTTTTTGTTTTTATTCTGGTAAAAAAAAATTCCATAGAATTATAACTAGTTTGGAACAGAGATGAACACTATCAATTTTAATCAAGTATTTCTAACAATCTCGCCTGGCAATCACGGCTCGCAGATACATTTTTTTTTCCTGTTTTGAAAAAAATCAATCCACCATTTGGCAATCTCCTCATCGATAAGAGAACTATTCATTAAATGTTATTCTTAATTTTTATCAGGCACATCACCAATATTGCTTTAGTTGCTAGCAGATCTAAGCGAAAAAGTTAACATTGGTGCATATCAGAACTTTTTAAAATTTCTGCTTTAAGGCTTAGTTACTTGTAAGGGTCACAAAGCACAGTTAAAAAAAAAAATTGTCGTGTGTTCTTTATAGGCTGTGATGGTTTTAAACGAGATATAACCGGGCCAGGCAAGAAAACCTTGTTCTCGGTTGTAATGTTTTCCGGTCATTCGTAATGTTGACGAAAAAAAAGACGTACTCGAGAACCAGATGTTTGCCTTCCACTGTGGTTTTTTCTTTAACATCAGTATTATGAAATACTGAAAGTACCTACTGACACAGTGTTGATTTTTAAACTTAGACTACGGAGATTTCCTATGCTTTGACACGTAGCCATGGCAACCTAATCATCATCAGTGCTGCACGAAAGAAGCATTTTCGATTATCCATATACGACACAAATGCAAACATCGGCCTGTGTGTCTTTTATAATAGAAGTGACATTTAAATGTTTTCTTTTCCTCGATTTTAAGTATACTTTCGAAGAAAACCAAATTAAAATTTAATGGTCACGTTCGGAAAATCTTACTTTAGCACTCGAACCAAATCTTAATATGAATATGATATCACGATTAGAAAAATTTATGTGGTTTATGTTCGCTCGAAAAAATGCTGACTCGCCTGGGTTCTAGCCACTTAGTGCCTTTGCTATTTCACAACTTACCTTTACTTCTTTAAAATTCAAGACGCTGAGACTGAATTTAAATGGGTCCTTCATTTCGGCTTGAATTTGCATTTTGTAAACAAGCACGGTTTGTAATATATCTTTGCTATTAATGTGCGTTTTTTCTAACGCCTACGTAGCGCTGACTTCTTAGGACTCTTTCGCCGCTTAGAAATAAAAACAATGTTTTTTGTGTTATTTTCTTGCGGTTATACCGCTAAAAGTAAAAAAAGAAAACATACTCACTTAATATTATGCGTTCAGATTTGTGAGTCAAACAGCTAGTACCTCGCCATGTGCCAGCCGGCTGTCTCGAAATTTCGGCTCAGCTTTTTTAAGCTGACTCTCAAGGACGTACACCATTTTTGTTCCTTTATTTTATTTAGTTTTGTCGTTTTCCTTTTTCTTTGTTATTTTTACTAAAGTACATTAGGCCCTATTTCTTACCAGGCACTGTAGAAAAACTAAAGGCAATTTTCAATCAATGATACTGGTATTAGGACTGAGTGATAAGTACAATCACTACGCAGTAAAGCCGCAACCTGGATACCGAGGAGATTGGGAGAATTTTACATTTCCATTGCTCTTTCTGAGACGCGCGTTTTATTCCAATCCGAAGCAGAAGATCTTTGAGAGCTTCTCAACAAATCTTTGCCACGTAATTATTTCACGACGCGGTATAATTTTGATATTTAATTTCGCTTCGCCGCCGAGACGAATCGTTATCGAACACGGCGAGTTGATAACTCGCCATATTTATTATGCGCATTCAGTTCACACTGATAATTTTAATATATATATTTTTTTATATAGATTTCTGTCTCCAAGTAGGATATCAATACCTTAAAGACTTACCTTGATTAAAATACTGATGCGATGGCTTCAAAAAACCTTTAAAGTAATGAACCTCTTTAGTCCATGCTTCACGAACATAGCAAAGAGAATCTCGTCCTCGATTTTCTGTGTAAAGATCGCGTTCGTTAATACAGCTGCTCCTGTTCACATCAATAGCAGCGAGTTTATTTCAGCTTTTCCCCTTTTTCTTCGCGTGTAATGCTTTCCGGTTTTAAAGTCAAGAATTCTTTTCTTTTACAAATAGAAGAAAACGCCTGAGTTTTAAATATGGCCTCGTTTACAAGCACGGCGCTGCGCTCATACAATTGCAAATATGTTTCCCAGGTAACAAGTGTTTTGCCTATCTTTTACTCTTGCCGGTGTCAACTTGTCACCGAAACGGCAATTATATCCTACAGGTGATGAACAACTTTACTAGACTTCAATTTACCAATCATTTAGTCGATGAGCGAAGAAGGCAATAAACTCTGAGTAATTTCTTTCTCGTATTTTGAAATTCATCCCAACGAAATGTCATTGGCAATTAGATACACAATTTAGCGACACTCATGTGTTTACAAACCAGCCCACCGCAAAATAAATATGGTAATTTCATTAGGCCAGGAAAAAAATAGGAATTTCTCGCTCGAAAAAGCGCTTGTCGCATAGATGCTAGGGTCAGTTTTAATTCCCTTGATAAACGGATAACGATTTTTGGAGAAATTGAAACTGGCCACCGTACTTTACATTTAAATTAACCTGGCATGAATAATTTGTAATATTTTGTCTTCATTTAATGTTACCAAGGGATTGGACGGAATGATATGTGTATTTGTTCAGTTGTTAAGCTTCTGTCTACCGAGACACTACTTGTTAAATATAAGAATTTCAATTTTGGCATAGTTAAGATAAATTGACAACATTAGAGGTTAAAATTCTAATCTTTTTAAAATCAATAATTACCATTGATATCTTTTTTTTCGAAGTGAGATTTTGCGACATGTTACATTTTATGTTATTTGGCTGTGCTGACATTTTATTGACATTTTGCCGCTGGGATTAAAGGATCATATACAATTACAATTTCAAAGAACGGCAGCGCGAAAGTATATCCCATGTTTCATTCGTTTTGGCTAGAGCAGAAATCTTGTCAAAACCGCAAGCCCAGAGTCAAAGAAAATTATAGACAACCCGTTGTTCTGTGTCATTTTCGTATTATTTCATTTTATTTTTTTTAAGTGAACGTTATTGAAGTTAGCGATTTGGTATATTATAAAAATTTATAACCTTCGGCGTTTTAATAGAGAAAGAGAGCGGAAAATTGCCAGACGCAGGTGCTCGTTCAAACCTCATCGATATCCAGCGTCGATATCCTTGCAAAATAAAAGACGTACATTTCTGAGAAAGAGGTGGAGGAAAAAATTTTGTAATAATTTTTCCCCTCTTTTCGGAAAGATAAAATTTTGTTCTTGGCTCTTAATCTAATCATTGTGATGTTTAGGGAGTTGATAGGAATGCCTAAGGTGGCGTTCAGAAAACGATAAAAATTTTAAACATATTTTGCTTAAGGTTCCTCTCATTCTTAAAAAGCTAACATACGCACACATCTAAAAAACTGAAAATATCACTTGTTCATGGCAAGAGAGGACAACCTTATTTTGGTAAAGATGCTATGGGATTACGGAGGAGCGTGCAATCTTTTTGGTAGAGAATCTCGTTTTGTCTTGCGATCATCACGCAGGAGGTGATTTCCGAAAGGGTTATTACGAAATTCTTTATGTTTCTGGAGAAGAAAATCAACAGTCTAGTCATCAGAGTAAAGACACTTATTATTTTTCTCAAGCTCAGCGAACAGAGTAGAGCAAAGATGGCAGAAAGGAAAAGGCAAAATTTTTTGATTTGCTGTCAGTTTCGTAATCACAAGGTTCCCATCGCTCAGATTAAGAGTTCACGTTCCATACTGCACCTGCGAAAATGTTTTTTTCAACAAGCAGAAGCTATTTCAATTTAAACCTTACCCTATGGCTGTGTTTAAATGATTTATAAAGAGATTTCGTGATTGGCTGCATATCGTTCATCCTCAGTTTTTTACATTTGCTCCTTGCGGGGACATCGAAAGCAATTTTAAATCTTCGTGGGAAAGACTCATTTGAAAATTACCTCCCTCATACACCTTTTGCACGAACACATGCGTGCTCTTGAAGAGGTGAATGAATTATATGTTGTGTCAGTTAGAATGTTATTTCATGCTGCTACTTTTCCAGAGTTTGTCATCAAAACTGCGAGAGAAAAACTATTAAAAAAGTGCTATAAGCACTAACTTGAAAGTGACTTAACAACAAACCCCCTGGATCGCTTTTTTCTGGCAAAAAGGTGCAATTGATAAGATGAGATGTGGGGGTGTTTGCCTTCAAGCCCGTTGTCTGTGTGCATCCCTACTGCGCACACTCAATCTACGGTAATTTGAATAGGGCTTTGAAATGGTTGGAAAATATCGAGATCTGGATCCTTAGCTTAGACTGGCTGAATCATCAGTAATGATTGTGTCGAGTGTAGATGGAGCTGCTTTGGAGAACTTGGACCCACGTCTCGTGCAAGAACTGATACGTGAATTTCGTTTACTGTTTGGTATGTCAAACAAAGGCTTTGTTTAACATTTGAAAGACAGGTGTGAAATTCCAGTCTGACAATCTGAATAAGAATTGCTGTTTGAATTAACAGTAACCATCTAAAATTTTATGGACAGACTTTGAGGTGGGAGAACATTTTATTACCTGACTACTTAAAAACTTACGTGGGATTGGTCTCATTTGCAACCGTCGTTTGATTTCGTCTCATAAGCGTAACGTGACCAAACCGACGGCTGCTATAATGAAAAATAGGTTCACTCCTTGTGCAAGTGTCGGTGGGAACTACGTCCTTTTGGTTTGGTGCGCAAAATGTACATCTCATTGTTTTGCTGAGATAAAATACGAAGAACATAGAAACTCATCATTAAATACAGGAAAGTCCTTTCTTGAAATAACTCCACATAACAAAGAATTGTGTGTATTTCCACTGAAATCAGAAACGATGCTCGATACATACTGAAGTTAGGAAGATATGGGTAAGAAGAGTAGTTGTAATCTGTTTGAGATCATACTTTCAACTGAAAATTTGAATAAAGTTAGATCAAGCAAACAAGAATCAATGTAAGAGGAGGAAAATTATAAATAAATTCCAGTTAGACGCCCTCCTCCCTTTGAGCAATTACAATTATGCAGTCGACGAAGCGAATACCATCTTGAGGTCCCCTTCTCGAGGATTATAAAATGTTTTATTCTGATTCGTGTATGGCTGTGACTCAGCTGATCAACGTTGATTGACCAAATGTCGGCGAACTGCCGTATGAGGGAAATTTTAATTTACCTTTCACGAGCTAATATTTACTATTTACTTTCACGAACCCTTTGGATTAATGCTTTCCCTGCGCACACCCTGCCATTGGTCGAGATGAGATTCCACTGATTACCTGAAACAATGATCTGACTGCTTGAATAAAGAGAGTGTTACCTACATAATGAAAAGAATGATTGCACGCAGATCTGAAGATTGTGAGAAGAGTTGACTCAGAGATATCTCTCCCTAGGATGCTATCCTTTGTGAGTATTTCCACTTTCTTTGGAGTTGAATGGAAGGCTTTTAATTCTTCAATTATACTCATCGATAACACTGTTTCGGACTGTCTAATGGCAGAAAAGGTTTCAAATTAAACAGCTGTCGATGGTTAAATCAACACTTAAAGTTTTGATAAAAAATCGTTACTCAGTCAGTGATGCCCTCATGAAGCAACGGTGGTCGCTTAGGGTTTTGTTGTTCCTGTTGCCTTGATTCTGTGGTTTTCACTTTCTATCTAAGTTGTGTTTAACACACTAGAAGAGCAAAGAATGAATACACACCCCTGTATCTATCAAAAGGCCTCTTTGATATGTGTATAAAAGGCAAATGGAACATCTGCTGGGCCAGAGTTCAACTTACACAAACTGTCACTTTTACCAATTCGTTTTTAAAAATCAAGCCATCAAAATAACCCGCAGCAAAAATTGAAAAAGCACAGTTAAAACACAATGTAACGCTAATCAACACTCAGCGATTGGCTCTATGATAATCAGACCTTTATCTACACAAAGATACTGTTTTAGTATTCCGGTTTAAAGAAACGATCTCTATCAACAGGCAAATAATTCGACTGACGTAGGTACAGTTATAACTACCTTTTGTGGGTCAATACGAGATCTGCAAACTTCTGCCTCTCTTGTTTGTTCTGCTGTTTGGGTTTTATGGTTTATTTCCGTGACTAACATCGTGTTTCAAAACGTCCGAGTAAAGATCGATTCCTCTTCAAAGGTAAGAGCTTTTATTTTCGTAATCACTTATCCTTCAAGGTAAGACAAATCGTGACTTGAATCAATTTTATTTCTTTTTTTAGGAGTTGGCGGTCGATGATTCAGTCCAAGCAGCTGGGTAATAACAGTGTTTAAAGCAAAGCAAAAACCTTCTTGGAACAATGAAAAAACTGGTTCAGTTATAAAATAGAACCAATGATATGAACCTTATTCATTATGCATTCGTTACTGTTGATAAGAGGGCATCAATTAGATGTATTTCAAATGTAACATCTTCACATCCTGATCCACACTCCTATCTCACTAAAGCAGAATCGTTTGAAATTTGCCTCGATGAAAGATTGGTTGATCAAACAATCGCTTTCGACCCACCGAGTGATCAGCCTGCTCTTTAGCTCCATGAAACTTTAAACGTGAACATCTACCTAAATATGCAACTGTATCTAAGTCAGTCGCTCCCTACGCATAATTCAGTTATGTTATAATTTTCTTGCAGAACATTCATGACGCAAAACGTCTATCGTAGCCTTTGGTTTACTTTATTTGCGGTTCTCGCCCGAAGTGGTTAGTATCATCACGACAATCACGAGGGTTACTGATTACGTGATTACATGGTATTGTAAGTTGGTATGAATTGACAAAACTGACCATCTGACTGACTTTCTAGCTCACACTGACAAACTGACTGACCGGAAAATTGACAGAGTAACTTGCTGATTGACTGGCGGGCTGGATGGCTCGCTAGATAGCCAGCACGCAGACTGACTGACTCAGCAATAGCCGAGTCCAAGTTCATCCGACGTGAAATAAAGGGCCGAGTCATAAAACTGCAAAATTCACCCCTGTTTCCTTACCTTTTTCAGGCAAAGCAAATTCTCCATCGTCAAGAACTTGGGGGGTATGTTCATCTCACGAGCAATGTCAAAATGGAGGAAGTTGCTTAAATAAAAGTTGTCTTTGCGCTTACGGGTATACCGGCCCAATCTGTGAATATAAACAACAATGCAATAAAAACTTCGCTTGCCAAAACAATGGCACTTGTGAGCTGGACTGGAAGACGAACACGAGTTTTTGCAGGTGTAACCAGTACTCAGCGAGTGATGGTCGCTTTGTGGGAGGTTTCTGTGAAAGGAAAGCTCCATGTCACGCCATTGGTTATTGTTTGAATGACGGTGTGTGCCAAAGAGATCCTTACGTGGACGGTGCTTTTTTCTGTAAATGTCGTGAGGGATTTTCTGGACCTGATTGCCAGGAGATAACAATGTGCCGCGAGGCAAGAGATTGCCTTAAGGGTGCAAAATGTATAAATAATAAGTGCTCTTGCGACGGAGATGGATACACTGGTCATTTTTGTGAGTTGGAAGTAACACCAGGTAAGTAATGCTTGAATTCACGCCAAGTACGTAACGCCCACAATCACGCCAGGTATTTAATGTTAAAAGTCACGCTTGTTTGGTATTGCTCAAAGTCACGCTAAGAGTGTATTACTAAAAGTCACACCAGGCATGTCCTGCTAAAAGTCGGCTGGGCTGTCTGTGTCTTCACTGTTTTACCTTATCGCAGTGCGTTTTTTATAAATTTTTAATGGGTTGAAAAGACCCCCAAAATTGCAGTCAACATGATGGAAAGTGCAAGGTAAGGAAGACACGCCCTTAGTAGTCTGAAATTGTTCATGTCTTGCTGTGGTTAGGATTATAATTCCCCTCATACTGGTATTTGTCTTTGATTTTAAAAAAATACGTTCCCAAGTCAAAAGTTTGTAAGATTGCAAGATAGTGTGCTCATCTAGCGCTGTTATATATCTAAATCAATTTTGCTAAATTAAAGTAGTGAAAGTGAACACTTGCTTTCCCTTCTAACATACATTTCGGGTGGATTCATCAAAATATTTAGTACTCTTGCGAAAAAACAAAAATGAAAAACTCAATAATCCCATATTTTTAACCTACAGCGCTAAAGTATTCCACTGTCTTCTACTGGCCTTTTAATCGACTACACCCCGGAATGAAAGGTAAGTACTGAAATAAGACTTAATGTTTGTCCTTAAGCCGATCAGAATCAGAGACATTAATCGAGGACATTTCGATTGAGTTTCCCAGAACCAGAACCAAACTAATTACAAAACCCAATCAGAAAAATGGAGAATATTTCAAGCAACCGATTCAAAATTAAAAGCAAGCATTCGATGTTCCTGAAACGCGGGAGAGTGCAAGGGACTTCAGTCACGAACGACTTTTGTTTTGCATCTAATTGGTTGAGAGAGTGATGCTAGATTTCTTAAAACAGTTACAGATTAAAGTGACGCAAAACCCAGATTACTTTCACCTATCTATTGAAAATCACTCTACAGAGTGCACTGCCCCATCTTTGTTGTCATGATTGTAGCAACAAAACGTTATGTTTCTCCATGAAAAAAAAGATACCTAGGCAAGCAAAAGAGTTATCATATCGATCATCTCAGATATGGTGGCCATAGTTGTAACCATGAATTTGATTAACATGTTGCTTAGTTTCTTGGATTTAAAACCTCAGGTGCTGCTAAAGTGGTTAGAGATATACGGATGGGAAATGTTCTCGATCTAATGCAGGCAGGAGGTGGCTGGGTTGACCTTGGTAGGAAGCTGAACAGTTATCTGTAGTATTTATTACTGACTGATTGGTTAATGTATCTATTGATCTTTGATTCTTTCTTCTAGAACCTCCTGTGCGCAACTTGCTTATTCTTAACATTTCTTTTTTCTTAGGCCAAGTTAACAACAGTTGTCTCGAAGACCTAAGCAAGTGTCAAGAAGGGATTTCCGTGTCGTTCTGGCTTCAGTTTACTGATGGGCGGCAAGTGATAACACTTATCAACAACGACAACACGATTCTGTCTGTTTATGTTAAAGATTACAGAAACATTCTTATAAGTTTGAAAGTGGGCTCCAATACTTGGAATATTGAAAGACACTGTTTTCCCATGGGGTGGTTTCATCTGACAATTACATGGAATCACCGAAGTAGGTGAAGGTTTGACTAACAGTTGTCACAAATGATAGACGATAATCGTATGTAGCTATGTTTTGTGTAGGCCGAGCAAAACGGCCAATTTGAAGCTACTTAAACAAAATAACGGAGGACTAAGTTCTAAAGGTGATTTGTGGGAATAAAAGAATTTTTGTCGTGACACGCTATCATTTGTAATAGATCGTCCGGGTGAGTGTAGTCCTGAGAAGGACTGTTGTCGGTAGTGGTGTCTGACGTTTCAACAGCCTGAGCGGAAGTCATCATCAGAGTCATATGAATAGTTGTTTTCAGTTGAATGTTCTCAGTCCGATTTGTGTAAACTGATTGGTTAGTTTTGCCGTGATGTTACTGGCTGTAAGACTCAAGTGGCGTAAGTCGGTCGTGATTGGTCATTATAATTTTTTTAGCCAATCCCGTACTGAGAATGTTCCCACAATAACTTTTGAAGCGAAGGGTTTAAAGTAGGTAACGTCTGGAGTAGCATTGATTTCTTTTCCATCTTCCCTTTTGTTTATCTTGATATTGTGATCATGTTCTTCTTTTTCGTACAGAATTGCGTTATTATGAAAATGGTCACCAAGTACGTGTGTCTTCCCCTTCTTCAGCGCTAATTCGAGAGGATGCCAGTCCCTTTGGAAACTCAACTAAGTTATCTGTAGGAGGAATCCAAGGACAGGGAGGATTTTCTATTCTACGAATGAGCGACCTCGCCTTCTGGACGCGCGCATTGCGCATTGAGGAAGTAGGAGACGTGTATAAGAAGAGTAAGTTGTTTGCCTCTCGCTGAAACGTGATTTCAATCATCAAAGGAGTAGCCAGGATCGAATCCTCGCTGTAATGGTGACCATTTGAGTGAAAACTAATTGTATTAAGTAAAATTGTTTTACTAACTAACAATCTTTCTGTGAGGTTTGACACCTGTATTGTCCATATTTTGCCAGAACTTTCATCTCCTCTCACAACGCGCTGCCTCTCAGCTCCCTGTCCATCAGACCAGTGGTGTGAATATGTTAGCAGCAATTCAAGCAACTTCACCTGCATGAAACCCGCTGGTTTTTATTGCAGTTTTGACAATGCTTCTTGTCAATGGCAAAATTTGTCCCACAATATTAACTTTTGGAGGATTTACAATGAATATGGTTCTTTACGTCATGATCATACGGGGAACTCTTGCGCAGGTATTATATTTGGTCTCAGCTTTTGAAAGAACTGAAGTACTCTGTCATCTTACACTGTAAAGTCAGGCTTTGTAGAACGTATTTACCGTGCGTTAGTTGCTGTGAGTTTTTGATCAAGTGATAAAGCAATTTAGCGAGACTATTGCTCGTGCACACCAAATAAAAACCCAATCACATTAGATCTAATACTTCAGGGATTTGCGAGACATGCAATAGCAATGAGAACCAAGTTGTACATGTCATCGTGGATTAGCGCTATCAGCGTTGGGACAGTCTTCCCCAGGTAAAATGGGGACGACGTTTCGCAAAATTTCTTCATTCAAAGTTAGCCGCCATCTTGGACTTTTCAAGAAGCGGAAATTTTAGGAGAGTGAATTTGTATTGTGTACTGAGTAAGTACGCGTAAGGAAAAAGTGGGGAAGGGGAGAGGAGCCCATCTCTACCGCTTATCGTTCAATCGAACCTCAAACTAAACATGCTCTCAAACATTTCTTCACCAGGCTCGCGGGAATTCCTTGGCCTAGTTTCTAATGAAGGTAGAGTTAACAGTGAAGTCATCAGTCCAATATTTTCAAATTCGAGTGTCCTTTGGAACAAGGTGTCAATATCGATGTGGTATTACATGGAGGGATGGACGAGCAAAACATTGTATGTCATCCTACAGACATCCGCTGAAGATAAAGAATTATTTGCCGTGAAACAACGGCAGAATCGGCGATGGACATATTTACGAGTCAAAGTCCCTGTCATAAGTTCTTTCTGGGTTAGTCAAGCGAATATTTTCTTGTGTTTTGCTTTTGTTTCTTTTGTCTTGTTTTTTGTTCATTTTTAGTGATCAAAGAGGCGGTGATTCGTGAAATAATTTTTCTTCTGGCGTCTAGGTCATATTACGAGGTGAAATTAATGGCAGCGGAGGAATTTTTGTGGATGATATTTCCGTGGAAACTTTCAGTAAGTGTGAGAATAACCGAATAAGAAAAAGTAAATGCTCTTTCGCTGAAGATAGGCTCAAATAGCTAGGATTTCAGGAAGAAAAACAATACTTCTATGATTCTCGTGGTTTACCGAGCTTTCTTATCGACGGCCTTTCTTTGACATATGAATGGTTTATTCATCATTCAGGCAGCCCTAGTGATGACTCACGAGACAGCGGGTCTGTAAGTAAGATAGTTAAACTCCTGAAAACGTGACCTGTTTACTCAATCGTCGAAAATTTCATTTCAGGCTCTCCAACTATTATTCCACGGGAACTCCATTTCTCTACCACTTTATATGGCTCAACGTCACTAGTTTGCACCGTCCACAAAGCCTCTAACATAACATGGTACAGAAATAATAATCCAATCCAACAAGACAATCACTATACCATATATAATGAAATGAGAGGGGACAAAAATGTGAGTGTGTTAAAAGTCACAGGCATTAACTGTCAGCTGACGGGAAATTATACTTGCGTGACAGCAAACCAATTTGGCAGTGTCCAGCGGCAACTTACCCTTTCCATATTAGGTAAGTATAAAAAGAATCAAAAAGGGGAGGTTATTTGCGACAGGGTTGGTCTTCAATTCTTTTTTCAAAGGAGGACAGTTGGCTCAGTTAAATAGCGATTACAAAGAGGAGATGCTGTTCCAATTGTTTGTAGTGAAAATGTGTGGAGAAACACTCATTTATTAATTTAAGATAGTTCAAGATGAAAGTTTAAGTGGTTGCTTACCGTTTTTTTGTGGTATCACATCGATAACACAGAGCGCTGTGTATGGTTTGTGAGGAAAAAGATTTTTTAAACTGTTGGTTTTTGTTATTTCTTTTCATCGAAAAGATTACGGAAAGGACACTTTGTAAAGTAAAGTCCATTTGCGTAGCTTTGTGCAATCAAGACCTCATGTGAGAGGGGGACGACAATCGATTTCACTGGAACGACTGATGAAATAACTTACAACGAAGCGATAACGAACTTAACGACAACTGAAATATCGAGAGGATAACGAAGAAGATTGAGATGACCACGATTAAGTTGGAAACAGTGAAGGCGAAGGGTTAGAAGATGACGACAAATTCGAGGCGTTGGTGACACAGATTGAGACGACAACGAAGAGAATCGAAACGATGGCGACGAAAATTGAGATGTGACAACCAAAGTCGAGAAGTTAATGGAGAAGATTGAGCGGACGACAATGACAAAGTTCGAAATGATGACGATGAAAATTGAGACGACAACGACAAAAGTTCGAGGCCACGATGGCAAGGATTGGAAAAAATGAAGACTACAATAGAGGCGATGAGGACTGAGATCGAGACGTAAACCAAGGGGCCGGATGGAGACGATAAATGTGGAGATCGGGGCGATGATAAGGGAAAATGCAGATCGAGAAGATGAAAACGATTGACAGGATGGGAAATAGGATTCTATCTTCCAGTTGCAAATTTTCTTATTTTCGTTTTGTCTCTGTTTGACAGATGTACCTCGACCACCTTCAAAAGTGATGATAGACAGATATTCAAAGCGGATTAGATGGATGGAGGAACCCGGGTATGAATGTCTTCCCAAGTCATACTTTGTGGTGGAATACAAGAAGAACTTGTCGAAGAATTGGACATTTGCTGGTTACTTTGATCACGGAGTATTTGATCTTGTAAATGTCTCTAAAGGTGAAAAATTTAACGTGAGAATCTTCGCCAAGAACGTCATCGGAAGTAGTCCAGCATCTCTCATTACTTTTTGGACAAACAGTAAGTTCAGAAAATATTTTTTCTGCTACTAAGGGGATGGGGCGGGGAAATGTGATGTTTCTTTTATCAGTTAGGATGCTTGAGTTATGCAATATTTGAACGTTTAAGAATAAGGCAACTAATATTTGTTTGTTTACTTTTTTCTTTTTCTTCTTGAGTTAAGCCAAGCGAGATCCAGCTCTTTGTCAATGATACGGCTGTCCAGAACTCAGAGAGGATAGTTTTACACAGAGGGGAACCAGTGACCTTAACATGCGTTGTTAAAGCCGAACCGGCGCCTACTAGATTTATCTTAAAGTTTCCCTCTCATCACAATGTATTCATAAATTCACAGCACCGGATCAACGGAATAAAATGGCAAATTATTCTTCGTTTAAAGAGCATGAACTGTCTCAACACTGGTTCCTACTCTTTTGAGCCACACAACAGATTGGGAAGCAATGGATCAGTATCTGTTAAGTTGGCAATCAGTGGTGAGTGTGGCTTCGATTGTTCCATGCTTTTGAACCCATCTGCATCACTTGCTAACTTCCAGAAGGGATTGACATGTAAATTCTCCTGCAAACAATTTATGAGATCGAAGAGACAGACTCAATTATCAGTTAGCTGGTGTTCTCTTGGTACAATACCACATTATCTTAACTGATTTACAAGGAAATGTGAAACAGTTACGGGAGAGGATCACCGGTTGATCTTGGGAGATAAGGGGTTATAAAGGTTAGAAGATAGAGGCAGTGAAATGCTAAAGCTTTTCCTGAAAATTTTATTATATTATCATCTTAAAAATTAAAAAACACTTAAGTAATGTATAACATCGTCAAAGCTCACTTTTCTAGTTAGTTTCAAGGAGACTACTGGACGAAGGTGAAGGTCATAGCCGCCTTGAAATTACAAAGAAAAATGAGGTGGCTCTGAACACCATTTTAAAACGTTTTGGGTCATTGTTAGTTGCTGAGCAATTGCCCACCTTCTTCTTCCCCAACTCAACATCAGAGAGTTGATAACGAGATAAATGTTTGGTTAGGGGAGGGGTAGGTGCAAAGTTTCTCGGATACTGACTTTGATCCAACGTTTTCTAGAGATAACCTTAATCTGTTCGGTAGTTCTCCAAATTTTGACCGCTTTCTTCCATCTTTTCTTTCTATTACTTGTATAGAACCCGATCCACCAAAAAAATTCAATGTCACCTTCATCAACATCACGTCTGTAGTCATATCGTGGTGGGCTTACCTGTGTAATGAAGCATTACCACGTGAGTTACGCGTGCGATATAGACAGCAGGGTTCATCCGTTTGGACGGTAACAAAATACAAGTATCCATCTGGGAAAATGGTCTTAAGGAGACAGTTTAAGTACAAAACAGAGTACGAGTTTAAAGTATCCATCGCGTATAATGGTCTACGGAGCAGATACAGCAGTGTCGTTAAAATACGCTCTCCTGGTA